AATCTGACAGGAAATTGTGGGACAACCGGGATCCTTGTACTTGAGCGGTGTTTTCTGGTCGATCACCGCGCTTACTTGTTCTGTCAAGAATGTTGTCTTCTTGACATGGTGCTTCCTTTTGATAGTGCACAGATCCTTGATAACCTTAGCATAAGCAGGCACTTGCTTGATAACATGAAGCAAAGGAAGATTAATCTTCACTTGAGTCAAGTGCTCTAGGATCTCACTTTGGTGTTCCGGTATTTTCCCAGTTGGACGTAGAGCTTGGGGAAAAGGCACCTTTACCGGAACATTTGTTGGATCATCTTTCTCAGGGACAACTTCCTTAGTACTCGAAGTGGTTGCACTTGTTGACGGTTCTTCCATAATCTTACTACTACGAGTACTGATGGCATTCACCTCTTTAACATTTTGATTATCGAGACATGAGATTTGCGCCATATGTTGACCCTTTGGGTTTGACTGAGCTTGTGAAGGGAACTTGCCGCGTTCTTGAACAGCCAAAGCTCCAGTCAGATTCGTGATTTGACTCTTCATTTCTTTACTTTCCTCCACCATTTGCGTGAACAGTGATTCAAACTTCTGATTCGTCTTACTCTGTACCTCCATGAAAGATTGCAAGGTGTTCTCAAGAGAACTCCTTGGCTGATGCGAATTGTATTGAGGTGCAGAATACGCCTTTGGTGGTTGCGGCTGTTGCTTAGTTCTCCATTGTCCTCCAGACGGTTGTGCTTGGTTGGAATCTCTCCAACTGAAGATTGGATGGTTCCTCCAGCCAGGATTGTATGTGTTAGAAAAGGGTTTGTTGTATGCCCCTAAGGCATTGCATTGCTCCTCATAAACCCCTCTCATTTCACCATAAGCAGGACAATCCTTAGCTAGATGTTCCACCCCACCACAGACAAAGCATGGCTCATGTGTTTCTGCCCTTGCGACCGTGTGGATTCCTCTACCTTCTTTGCCTTTGAGGGCCTCGATTTGCTTTGTCAAAGATTCGACTAATGGCTAATGGTTTATATTGTATAAAACCAATACCTAACTCACTGCTTAATACTGAAATGTTCAGAGTTGCCGAACCTAAGAATAAAAAGCAAAAGATTTCTCATGATAACAACACATATCTGTGGCATCTTAGGCTTGGTCATATTAACCTAAACAAGATTGAAAGACTGATAAAGGATGGTCCTTTACGCGAACTAAAAGTTGGTGAGCTTCCGGTCGGTGAATCTTGTCTGGAAGGTAAAATGACCAAGAGGCCTTTCACGGCGAAAGGAGAAAGAGCTAAAGAACCCCTTCAGCTGATACATTCAGACATATGTGGACCGTTAAACGTCCAAGCTAGAGGAGGTTACGAATATTACATCACCTTTATTGATGACTATTCGAGATATGGTTTTGTTTACCTGATGCAACGAAAATCCAAAACTTTTGAAAAGCTTAGAGAATTTTGAGCAGAAGTTGAAAAACAATTAGGTAAACCAATCAAGACACTTCGATCAGATCGAGGGGGAGAATACCTAGACCAAGAGTTCTAGGATTTCTTGATTGAAGAAGGTGTATTATCCCAATTGACAGCACCCGCTACACTACAGTAGAATGGTGTAGCTGAAAGGAAAAATCGGTCTTTGCTCGACATGATGAGATCAATGTTGAGTTATTCTTCATTGCCTACTTCGTTATGGGGTTATGCCTTAAGAACAACTGCATACATTCTGAATAGAGTACCATCTAAGTCTATTCCTAACACACCCTTAGAGTTGTGGTGCGGTCGAAAACCTAGTTTGAGATACGTGCGCTAATTACGCCCAAACGTGTACAAAAACAAGCGGTTAATTGTAGTACAATTTGAACGGTCGATCCGATGAGGAAGTGTTAAATTGAACAAGAAATGATTAGCAAATAAAAAGCGTTAGGAAAATAAGCAATCAAACAAAGAAAATGAATGAGTGTTTTTGATGATTTTTTTGGAACAATTTAAAATGGAGAAAATTCAATAAATAAAAGTGGTAAGGCTTTGAGAATCCTCCATATGCTTTGTTCACCTATTTGGATTTTGATTCATAAATTGACTCAATTGAAAGTTTCACATCCCAAACAAACAATCAGAAAATAAATATTTGAAGAACATATGAATTAAAAATGTATTCAAGTAAATAAAATTCTAACGTTTAGAATTAGGAAAAATTATCTTATGAGAAATCCAAGAGCGACAATATACCGTTGGCAATAATGCAGTAAAAGACTACTCATAAAAAAATACCTATCAATATATAATATAATGCAACAATCACATAAAAAGAGCTTGACTAGATTTATATGAAAGTTGACAATAAAATATATTGATAAGAGGAAGAAATATGATAAAAGAAAATTATTTACTCAAATGTATAAAACTTACAAACCATTGGAGAATCAAAAATCCAAATAAGTTCACTACAAATATAGGATCATCTCTAGCCTCACCTAAATACTCTAGCCTAACTTGCACATAATTCCCATAAAATTCTAAAAAGAAAGTATGAGAATAAGAACAAGAAAATAAGAGAAAATATGTGAGAATTTAGGCTCTAAAAATTCAACTCTTAATCACCTTGACAATGACCCTATTTATAGAGTTTTGAGAATGCTAAAAAGCTAAAAATCAGATCGTAATTAAGAAGTTACAAGGCTTAATCGGAGGAGAAAAACCATCACGTTTCTGAAGAGAGGGACACGTGTCGCCAGATGATTCATGCGCGGGAGAAGAAGTGTTGCACAGTTGGGCCACGTGGAGAAATGCTTGACGCGCGCGGGAGAGGAACTCATGCAGAGAGGGAACGTGCGCGCGAAACGCGCGTACGCGGGGGAACAACTGAACCCCACTTGGACGCGTGGCGAGCTGTGGTTGGAGGGCTTCTTTACACGGGACCCACGTGGAGAGGAATGAAAATCCGGGTGACGCGCGCGTGGAAGAAACTTGCGCAGGGGAGTGGGCGGTGCGCGCCAATCGCGCGTTCGCGGGGGGACAGCTGGGTCCCACGGTCCTGCGGTGCGACAGTGGTCGACACGTGGCACTGGGTTGGCTCGCGACTTCTTGGCTCGGCTCGCGGCTTCTCGGCTCGGCTCGGCTAGTTGATGGGCTGATGGGCTTTGGGCCGAATTGGGCTTTTCTTGGGCTCAACTTTTGGGTTTTGCTTGGTAAACTAGCCCAAATCCAATTGTTTTCTTCAAAAACCTGAAAAATAAAATAAATCTAATTAAAATTAAATCCTCTAAATTTAAGAATATTTGAAATTAAAATCACAAATTTGATAAAATAATTTGACAATTATGAATATTAAAAGTTCAAATTCGTGCACTTATCATGCGCATATAGGGATGTCCAGCACATGTGCTAAAAGGAAAGACTGGGAAGTTGGAACCCATGTCAAAAGTGTGTATGTTTGTAGGATATCCTGATGGGACGAAGGGAAGTTTCTTTTATAGTCCTGAAGATCAAAAGGTGTTTGTATCGACAATTGCCACTTTTCTGGAGCTTGACTATATGATAGATTTTAAGCCCATAAGTAAAATATTATTGGAAGAGTTACTATCTGATGAGATCAGACCACAGCCGACAAGAGTTGTCGGGCCACTCAGAGAAAAGACCATAGTTCCTGATCAGACTCCTAAGGCACCTCGTCGTAGTGGGAGGGTAAGCATGTTACCCAACCAGTATATCGGGGAAGCCCAAATCGTCACTGCTGATGACGGTAAGGAGGATCCATCGACCTTTAAGGATGCGATGGATGATCTGATAAGGAAGAATGATAAGCAGCTATGAAACTCGAGATGGAGTCTATGCACTCTAACTTAATCTGGCAACTTGTAGATCTACCCGAAGGGGTAAAACCCATTGGATGCAAGTGGATCTTCAAGAGAAAGAGAGGAGCGGATGGGGAAGTAGAGACTTACAAAGTAAGGCTAGTGGCTAAGGGTTATACCCAAAAGGAGGGAGTTGACTATGAGGAAACTTTCTCGCTAGTAGCCATGCTTAAGTCCATCCGGATACTCTTGGCCATTGCAACATATTTTGACTATGAGATATGACAGCTGGATGTCAAGACAGCTTTTTTGATTAACTATCTTAAGGAAACCATCTATATGGATCAGCCAGAGGGTCACATAGATGAAGGCCAAGAGCAGAAAGTCTGTAAGCTGCAGAGGTCCATTTATGGATTAAAGTAAGCTTCTAGATCATGGAACATCAGGTTTGATGAGGCTATAAAGTCTTATGGATTTGATCAAAACATTGATGAACCATGTGTCTACAAGTACAATAAAGAAGAGAAAGTGGTCTTCTTAGTTCTTTACGTCGATGACATCCTACTCATTGGGAATGATGTGAGATTGATGACAGATGTAAATGAGTGGTTAGCCAACCAATTCCAAATGAAAGATTTGGGAGAGGCAAGCTATGTTCTTGGGATTAAGATTATTCCAGATCGCAAGAAAAAGCTCTTGGCATTGTCATAGGCATCTTATATAGACAAAGTGTTGTCTAGGTACTCGATGCAGAACTCCAAGAAAGGGAATTGGCCTTCTAGGCATGGTATTCATCTTTCTAAGGATTAATGTCCAAAGACTCCACAACAGGAAGAAGATATGAGACGGTATCCCTATGCTTCAGCTGTGGGAAGCCTTATGTATGCCATGTTGTGTACAAGACCAGATATCTGCTACGCAGTGGGAGCAGTCAGTCGCTACGAGTCCAACCCAGGATTTGATCATTGGGTTGCAGTAAAGTGTGTTCTCAAGTATCTTAGGAGAACGAGAAACTATATGTTGGTATATTATGGAGAAGATCTGTCTCTCACCGGATACACGGATTCTGATTTCCAAACGGATAGAGATAGTCGACGGTCGATATCTAGATATGAGGTCACTCTTAATGGAGGAGCCATGGTATGGAGAAGTATAAAGCAAAAGTGTGTTGCTGACTCTACCAT